ATTAGTATAAACACGTCTATGTGGAAACTTCTTTACCTTAGGATTTCCTCCAAGTATTTTTTTTTGGGCTAAAAGAGGCTTTGGATTTAGTTCTAAATTCCGCTGAACTGAATCATTATGTTAATCTTCCTGAGTCTTGCAGCTACAGAATTGTTATTTCTGAGCTTAGTTTAAGAAACTGTTGCACTCTGACTAGTAATTGTGTATAGCAAATATCACCAGTTATATCAGTTCAGAATATTACAGAAACACCTTGAAGATTTCCTTGAAAGGCTAATGCGCCACCAATATTTTATCTGGAGATACAAATAAGGCTGTTTCTGAATTAATACTTCTATGAAATGAGAGCACAGGGAGTGGACCGGTGTAACTGCTAGTTCAACAAATGAGATCTTTGCCTCCACACATGCTTTTTGCACCATAGGTGCATGAAAAAGCTCTGATAAAAACCTAGTTTTCTGTGGAGAGCTCCCCTCCCCATGAAACGTGAAAGATCTTTTCTGCAGGTGTCTTGGACAGCTCTTCAAGGCCCAGTGTATGGAAAGCTTTAGGGAAGAGAACATGTATGAGAGGATCTCAGAATATAGCACTACAATATTGCAAACTCTGAAGCTCATATGACAGCTCAAAGAAGCTCTTGTAATTTACCTTATCTACCTGAAAAGGTTTAATTTATTTTTAGTTTCTGTAACTTCATCTTCTCCCCTCCTTCTCTGTGCATGCAATGTACACCACAATGTATACTTTACCTGAAAACTAGTTCCGCAGAGTCTAAAGAAGGACTTTTTGCCTAAATAAATATATATATATACAGTGATTTTCACTAGCACAGCTGCTAATGTGATACTTGTACATTAGTAAGGGCTGATGATATTCTAGGCAGGCACTTCAGTGTTGGCCAGACTGCGGTGAGGGCCGCTCAGCCCTTAGCTCAGGCTTAAGAGGGTGCAAGAAGAGAGTCAACTTAGCAGAGCTCTTCCTCTTCCCTCTGAGTTTTGTGCCGTGTCTTTACAGAGCTGCACAACACACTCTTAGGAAGAGGCACCTGCCTGCAGGTGTCTCTGAGAGATTATCCTGTTGTTAAAAGCTGTTGTACGAATTGCAGGGGGGGACAGAGGACTGCCATTTTCTCAAGGAGCCTTTCAGTTGTAGGAAACTAGATGTACCCTTTATTACAAATGTGTTTTCTCTGACAATAATGACGGACACTTTCAAGGAAGTCAATGATATTACCCATGCATCAGTGTTGCAAGGCAGAATTTTGGGGCAAACTAGAGAATAGTTCTTAGAAAATATGGATTAGATGAACATATTCATTACTTTTCTTGAAAGAAAATATTTGGCAGGATCATCTGAGGAGATGTCTATCAAACATAAATGCAGCAGTGTTTTAAGTGATAAGCTGTGAAGTACATCTTAAAGAAAAGGGTCACTTTACTTTGCAAATGGTGATCTTTTTTTTTCCGTCAAAGAACAGTGTAATCCTTGAGAAAAATTGTAAAGAATTCAGGTTAGCAAGGTAATAGGAGTAGTATTTCATGTACTCATCTATTGAAAGAAAAGCTTCTGGTTTAAAGTGTTTGACAGTCTCTTACATGATGAGAGATACTGCAAAAATGTGAAAGATTTAGCACTTTAGAAAATGTGGCTACCAGTAGGGAAAAATATAAGATAGAAGGAAAACAGAAGTATAGTGAAATTGTGAGAATTGTACCTCCAACCCAGTTAAGTTTCAGCATTAGGAAAATACTGTAAGATAAAACTTCATCGACAGAAGGAACATAAAAAAATGAGTTCAGTATATCAGTGTGATCATCTGATTTATGAGAAATATGATAAAGTAACGAAGAAAACGGGGCTCGCAACTTTACAGACTGACTTCCTGAGATGAAATAGCACTGTGACAACTGGCCATGGGGCCAATGAGTTCCCCACCACTGGAACTTTGTAAATCTTGCTAAAATCTCTTTTGCCATGCTGTCCTACTAGCAGTATGCAGCACTAATTAATTTATATGCATTCCATCTTGCAGTAGAGGTTTAAGAAACAATATGGTAACAAAAATAAATAGGCTATTCATGATGGAAATTATAGCAACAAGATGAGACTATTTACTTTTATGTTGGAAAACAGAAAACCTGTAAAAGAGAAATTGTCAGTGAAATCACTACTGAAAATTGCTGCAGAGGAACGTGAATGAATGCATGACAGTAATGTGTTTAATTGTTAGTAAAATAGGGGGGAAAAAGGCCCTCAAGACTTTGTACAACTTGTAGCTTGCGTTTGGAGTGTCTTGCTGGCAAAATGATGCCTGACAAATTTGCTGGCCTTCTGCTAAAGGGTTACAGCATTGGTGGATAAGGGAAGAGCAACTGACATCATCTACCTAAGGCTTTCTGTAAAGCATTTGATACTGTCCTGCACGACACCCTTGTCTCTAAATTGGAGAGACACAGGTTTGATGGATGGACCACTTGGTGGATAAGGAATCAGCTGGATGGTCACACTCAAAGAGTTTGTGGTCAATGGCTCGATATCCAACTGGAGATGAGTGACGAGTGACGTTCCTCAGGGGTCAGTGTTGGGACAAGCACTGTTTAACATCTTTGTTGGTGACATGGACAGTGGGACTGAGTGAGTTACAAAGTCCTTTATGAGGCACGGGCCCTTTTAATCTGTTTTCTAAGAGATAGCATTTAGTCTCGTATAACTAATTATTCAGGACTTTACAGATTATGAAGCTGTATAGAAATATTTAGTAAGGAGTTGGGAGTCTGACTTCAGTCAGCGAAATTTTAAGTAATGAATTGTTGAATATTAAATATCAGAAGAATTCAGTTTTCAGTTGTATTTTACAGTCTTATCTTTTCTTTTAAATCACCTTAGCCTTACTGTTAACGTACCAATGATAGATGTAAAATAAGGTCATGACCATAAATTATGCTCAAATTGGTAGAGATATATGAGACCCGCAAAGAAAGGAAAGGCTTTATAAAATAGAAATAATATCTATTATAATATCTAGAAATAATACATTTGCAAAGAAGTTTTGATTCATATCTAAAAAATTGTTAATACTATATGGTATCCAGTTTATTCTGCAGGCAAAGGTTAATCAGCTTTGATTTGGGGGGATAAAATAGCTGTGGCCAGTAACTAAAACTTCAGATGCCTTAGGAATTTATTGTAATTAACAACTTAACAATATGAAGCAGTTTCACAGTTTTTGATGAAGCCAACATATTCTGCACAATATAGACTGAAGTCCTGGAGTAGTGTTGTTATTGTGCCTTACACTGCAGAGAACTACACCCCAATTTGCTTACCCGTTCCCTTTTCCTCTGTTTATCCGGTTGGTGTTCTTCTGGGTGCCGTATACATAAGAAGTCACCCTCATTTTATAGGTCACTTGTTTAGTAACCCTTTGCCTGTGTGAATTGTGATCTAAATCAACAATATCTTAGGTGTTAGAACTGCACTTACACCAGGCTGTCATTCACCTCTTTGATACTTACTTACTTAACCAGTAGTAATCGTTATTTTCATTCTACAATTACTGTAATGGAGCTGATTCCCGAAATGGAAAACAGGAGGCAGTTACAGACAGTTTGAATTGTGCTCTCACACTTTCATGGGCAGGCATCTCTCTTGGAGCTTTGATATTTCTTTGGGTTTGCCCAGAAATGCATTTGGTAAAAGAGGGAGTTGGGCATCTGGTCTGTATTTTCTTTCACATGACCCTGTTTCAGCTGCTTGGAAATACAAGATTATCCACACAGGTACTTTCTGCATCCCTGACTTGTTTAATACAAAATGTGAAGGGAAAAAAATACTGTGGATTACCCAAAAAACTTTTTTAAGGTTTTTAATTTTTATGGTTTAAAATTTCAAACTATTAAAACTCTGGCTGAGCTCAGTTGAATTCCTAAGAGGTTATTTAAATAGAGGATGGAAAAGAGAAATGAAGAACAGAAATACTGAATTTTATGATGTAAGGTCATTACACCTCTGCTTAATTATACCTTCACCACTTACACCTCTTGCAAATGTCATCAGATTACAGTTTTAATAGATGTTTTTCCTTTCGAGTATCTGCAATGCTAGTGTGCTGAACTGAACAGGAGTGCAAGAGGGAAGAGTTTCTTATTCGTTCCACATGGATTTTCAGCTGAATTAGTGACTCAACGTCTGTAACTTGTGCTGCAGTTAAAAGTCCTCATGTGGTGGGGGATCTTGGTGCTTGCAGTCAGGTTGAGAATGGTAATGGCCAGGCGCAGCAGGGAACTCGGATTCAATATGCTGAATGAGAAGGTGAGTGTTTTAGCACAGCTGCTTCCTCAGGGTCAGGGGAAAGGAAAAGCCCTGTGGGAGGATTTTCAAGCACCACTGAGCTGGCACACCAGGAGACGATGATTGACTTTAGAAGAGCCCTGCTGTGCAAAGGATTGTCGTGTTGTGGTCCCCTTTATCACTGGTTAGGCATTTCTTTTGAAGAAGCCAAAAATGGGAGAGTAGGGAGATAGCAGCAGAACAAACAAATAAAAAAATAATCATGAAACAACTCTCTTTGACGACACTGAGGTCTGGAGATTTGTTTCTTCATTGATTTGGCAGTTTAATTTCATTTAAAAGATTTACTTTGGTAAGATTTTTTTATGAAAAACTGATGATGCTGCAGTGCAGGTTGAGTTGTTGTTTGTCTTGAAAAGAGAGATTAATTTGGGTATGAAAAACTGATGACCTGCTGCAGTGCAGGTTGAATTGTTTGTCTTGAAAAGAGAGATTAATTTGGACCTCGATATAAAGACATTTTCTTTGTATTTGGAATGTACAATCAGGAATACATAACACCTTTTCAATCTAAATCTGTGCATTTCTTCACAGGAGTTCAGACCTGCACCACAGAGGACCTCAATATAAAGACATTTTCTTTGTATTTGGAATGTACAATCAGGAATACATAACACCTTTTCAATCTAAATCTGTGCATTTCTTCACAGGAGTTCAGACCTGCACCACAGAATGGCACAAAGTGGAAAGCACACCCTTCTGCTGACACCCCAGTAAGAACACGGCTCAGCTCCTGGATGGCTTTGCAGCTCCCATGGCAACAAGGAGGAGGTGGACTGAAGATACTGTCTGTCAGCCTGGCTCTGCTGGCAGTTCTTGTTATGTTTTACTATGGAGGAATGAAAACAGAGCTGTGAACTGAATGAAGCTTTTATGAAAACAATAAAACTACTGTTTAAAATCTTCAAAGGAAACATTTTTACCTACAAGTCTTCTTCTTTTTTTTTTTTTTTAAAAAAAAAGATAATATAAATTGAGCAATAATTTGTACTCACCCTATGCCTTTCCTGTCATTCATAAGAGAGAATGTTAATAAGCTTTAGGGCGATGTATCTTGCCAAAATTTGAGATCCTTGGTTGGCAGAACAGTTTGTTGCATCTTTGCTCTTCTTTTTTTTCTAAAATGATGCAATGTTTGCGTTGCTTACTCTTTTTGTAACTGCTGTAGCAGGTAAAATTGCATGCAGGGAACTCATGAAGTTTATAAGACCTTTTTCCATTGAGTGATGTTGGTGATCTTTTATGAGCAGAACATTTAAAGCTTTCTTAAAGATTTTGCTTAATGCAGTGTGATGGTTTGATATATGTCTTTTTACATTAGATTCAAACACCGCTGGGCCATTAAAGTTTGTCATTCGTTGCTATTGATTTTGCTGTTATGTCTGAAAGAATTTTTGGCCTGCCATCCTGCCTCTCTCAACTTCATGATGCGTTACTAGGTTTTGTTAATACGGCAAGAATTATTTTTTGCATAGAAATAGTTGTAAAGGTGTTAGGTTTTTATCACTGAATGGTAAGATGGAGTTTTGGTGGTAGAGTTCTGTTAAAAGAGGGATTTAATACAGTCTTTATAGATTTAGTATAACGCTCAGAGAACTAAATGTGCATCTAGCGTTAGATGCGTGTTGGATCACGCTGTGTGTAAGACAATATTGCTGTGTTAGTGGGGAGGTTACGTTTTGCACACTGCAAATTTCTGGTTGCTTTCTGTCGTGGCAGGATCTCCACCCATCTTGAGATTGTGCTGGTCAGTCGGGGACTGGACTCTGTGCCCTGTTCTGCCAGCACCTGACTGCGTGGTACTGTTCGTTCATTTGTTCATGCCTTGTCACCTTTCCGGATCTTCATCCAAACTTTCACTTGCGAAGTATATTTAAAATCTTAAGAGCAGGAACTGTAAGTGATTTATTTTTTTTTTTAGTATTTTGTGTCATATGCAGGCACAGACGGCGCTGAGCTGCCTACGTGGCTGTTGGAGTTGAACCCCGGTAGGCAGCTACCACAGAGCCACTGGCTCACTCCCCCGCCGCGGCACGGGGGCGAGAGTCGGAAGGGTAAAAGTGAGAAAACTTGTGGGCCGAGATAAAAACAGTTTAATAGGTAAAGTGAAAGCTGGGCACACAAGTGAAACAAAGAATTCATTCACTGCTTCCCACGGGCGGGCAGGTGTTCAGCCATCCCCAGGGAAGCAGGGCTCCGTCACGTGCAACGGTGACTTGGGAAGACAAATGCCATCACTCCAAATGTCTCCCCCTTCTTCCTTTTTTCCCTCCAGCTTTTATTGGTGATCACGACGTCATATAGTCTGGAATATTCCTTTGGTCAGTTGGGATCAGCTGTGTCCCCCCCAGCTTCTTGTGCACCCCCAGCCTACTTACTGGCAGGGCAGCATGAGAAGCAGAAAAGACCTTGTGTTATCAGAAACATCCCTGTGTTATCAAATCTGGTTCGGTCACAAATCCAAAACATAACCCCATCCTAGCTGTGATGAAGAAAATTAACGCTGTCCCACCCAAATCCAATACAGCAGCTCTGCAGTGCAGATGAATAGTCCCCTAGGAAAGATGCTTGGTACTTCATAAAATGAGGATTCCTAGTAGTTACAGACAATTAATCAGGAAGTTCCACCATGATGCTTTCAGTACAGCCTGTAAATTATAACAACAAATGTAACTGTCTTCAGGAAATTAGTTGTGTAATGACTTGAATATTATATTTCTTATTGCAACCACTGAAGGTCATGAGCCAATACTCAAAATTCATGAGACTTTTTTAAAAAACTGTGCTCTTGATTTGCTTCTGCTTGTTTTTTCAGGCTTTTTTTTTTTTACAACTATGAGTATGTAACAATCAGTAATTTACATTTTTAACAAATCTGAAATATTCAAAAAAAACCCCCACTTGACTTTGCAAGCTGAAATTTTCAGGAAATTACCACATATCACAAGATTCTCAGGAAAACTGTGAGTTGACAAAATCATTATCTCTGAGCCAAATTTTTGCATTTGATGGGAATAAACTATGCAGATATTTTCTGTGCCTCTAGCACTCTGTCAGCCATTCTAGCTTATCTAATCATAGCAATTACAGACTCATTGCATCAGCTGTTACAAAGACTTACGAAGCTTGTGATTTAGATTCTGTGCATCGTTGACTTTAATGGGCCCAGCTTATTTTCTTGGAAATAACGCAATATAGAGAAAGTGAGTGAGGAAGACTTTGTAAATGACATTGCCCACAAATGCAGGATATTCTTAAACTGAGCTTTAACCTGGTAAGTAGGAAGTGTTGTTTATCAAGTATTTTGTTATGCTCCTTTAGATTTTGAGAGGGCTTTTTGACACTTTGTACTGTCGAGCAGTAGAGTGTTTGTCATTTGTTCCTGTTTATTTACAACGAAAGCTTTCAAAGACACTGAGCTGAGTAAGTCAATTCTGGTCAAACTGCTCATCTGGACCTTCAGGCAAAAGCCAAATGGGGCTACTGCTGAAGGCTGGGAAACCTCTGAGCATAGAGTGGACTGTAGAAGTATATCTACTTCATGGAACGGGGTGACCTGAACACATTTGATCTGTGATTTTTGCTCCCACTTGGCTCCTTGAATACTTCTAACTGCCATGCCAGGCGGCATTTTTAATTTTTACATCATCATTATGTTCGAGGCCTATTTCCACCAAGTATTCTGTCTTTACAAGCCATCAGAGTGAGTAAGAAATCTACTCCAAGTTAATGATGTCCTTGCAGGAGAAGTTTCCCTCCAGTCAGTTGATCTCACACTTACACATGTGTGAAAACACTTATCACTGGAGAATGTGTCTGCTAATAAGCAATCTGAATCCAATGCCTTTTTTTTTTTTTAAAGCAAAAAAGAATCTTATTTCCTTTTGGTATCAAGGAAGCCTCAGCTATTTTTCTTAAATGTGTGTGGTAGCTCTGAGTTCTCTTTGACTATTTTCAGGGAGGAATCTTGCAAACCGCAAGACTTGAATAGCAAAGGCAACTTAAATCTCTTTTGAACAACATTAAATGCATGCTTTTTATGTCCTACTTGTGCATGGTTTTGGATGCTGGAGGACTTTGTCATTTAATCTTTTTATTTTAGCTTTCTATTAATGGTATACTTGTTTAGAAAAAGAATGTGAAATAAGTGAATCATAGAATCATAGAATGGTTTGAGTTGGAAGGGACCTTAAAGATCATGGAGTTCCAACCCCCCTGCCATGGGCAGGGACACCTCCCACCAGACCAGGTTGCTCAAAGCCCCATCCAGTCTGGCCTTGAACACCTCCAGGGATGGGGCATCCACAGCTTCTCTGGGCAACCTGTTCCAGTGTCTCACCACCCTCACAGGAAAGAATTTCTTCCTAATATCTAATCTAAATCTCCCCGCTTTCAGTTTAAAACAGTTATGCCTTGTCCTGTCACTACACCCCCTGATAAAGAGACCCTCCCCATCTCTCCTGTAGCCCCCCTTTAGGTACTGGAAGGCTGCTCTAAGGTCTCATCTGAGCTTTCTCTTCTCCAGGCTGAACAACCCCAACTTTCTCAGCCTGTCTTCACAGGAGAGGTGCTCCAGCCCTCTGATTATCTTTGTGTCCCTCCTCTGGACTCCCTCCAATAGGTCCATGTCCTTATGTTGAGGCCTCCAGAATTGGACGCAGTACTCCAGGTGGGGTCTCACAAGAGAGGAACAGAGGGGGAGAATCACCACCCTCAACCTGCCGGCCACACTTCTTTTGAGGCAGCCCAGGATGCGGTTGGCTTTCTGGATTATGAGCACACATTGGCAGGTGATGTAAAGTGGTTAATGTAAAGCTTGTTCTATAAAGCAGGAGAGAGAAAGATGGAGAAGGTACCTTTTGAGGAGAGTTCATCCACCTCTGTCACATCGTTGCCTGCACATCTCTGAACAACTGACAGCTTCTGTTAATGCAGTTTCCCTCCCCAATTCAACTTCCCATAGGGAAAGCTGGAGTGATTTTTGAATAACAGCAAATAATATCTGAAGTGGCAGCAACTGGCAACTCTGACATTGAGCTTGGCTGTGTCCATTACCCAGAATCCTTCCGCTCTTCTTGAGAAGCAATTACAATTTCACAGGTTGGAATTAAAATTCCCTGCGGTATGCAATAGAGTAACTGAAACTGTCAAAGTGATTTCAAGCTGCTAATCTCTCGCTGCTCGAAGAGTGAAAATAGAGCCCCTCTTACCCAGGCACAGATCTGACAACTTAAAAACTCCAGCCTTCCGCTATGTTTAAATACATATGGAGAGTGGCTTGATCTGCTCACAGAGGATATCTGTAAAGATGTTATGTCTATGAACATTTGGGCGCTATTAACAAGTCTATCTTTTTTAACTTTAAGATGTGTGTAACTTGAGGGACTAAGACAAATACAAAAGAAGTCTTATCCACGAGCTTTGAGAATTCGGAGGAATGAGTAGGCATGTGCCTGTTTGTATGAGGCTTATTAAAATCTTTATTTCTGTATTTTTGAACACGTACTATCTTTTGCTGGAAAATTTGCTTGCCATTTTCCCAAATTTTATTTTCACATATTTATTTCCCACATTTTATTTTGAGCACACTTTGTTGTACAGATAGAAACAAAGAGAATTTAAAAATCAAAAACAGAGGAAAAAATTGAGAGGCTGTAAAGCTGTAGTGCAAAATGAAAAATACTAGTGCAAAAGCTGCAAAGCAGGTTTGAACCAGGAAACACAGCCCACAGTGAGGGACTGGCTGCAAAACACCATCTGACTTTTTCAGAGGCAGGGTTCATCCACAAGATAATTAAAATTAGAATGATTGCTTGGAAGTCTTTGTGCAAATATCATTAAATGTCTTTTAGTTGCATATTTCCTTCATGCATGCACTTAACATTGAAGTGAATGGTTTTTTTCTTTAAATAAAGACGCTTCAGTAGCGGTGGAGGGGTATAAATTATGAATAGTCCTATTTTAATTTTAAAGAAGCCCAGTACAAAATAAAATTGTAACAAATAATCTTGTCCCTGCAGCTGCTGGTGTCCCAAAGCCTGTTAACTCCCACTTGGGAAGCTGTGGTTGTGGACTTGGATCATTTATGCTGTAGATCTCCTTGTGCTATGTTGTGATAAGTTGGGTGCTTGAAAAGTCATGGAAGTGTCTGTGTTCCAGTCAAAAAGCTAGTCAAAGCTGATGGCAGAAAAGATCTTCAGATATCTTTGTTTCTTTATTCCACACCTCTCTTGTACGCCTTTTCGCCATCTGTGCACAGACTTCTCTCTGTTCTCTCACTCTTGTCTCATTCAAATCTCCTTTATCAATGTCAGGAGTTTAAAGAACAGTTAGATAATGTGTTTAAGTTTCCATGTGATCCTCTTAGG